GCTATCCCTTTCCTTCTTTTGCACGACTCCGATTGTACATAATGTAATGAACGAGCTTCTAAAGATACTCTACTCTTAGAAGCTAGCAGTACTTACATTGTTTCCCCTCTTATGGAACGATTGATGTTAATGTTGCTTCTCTTATTCCTATGTTATCAATGTTTTTGGTACTTCCTGATTCTTATAAGGTTCATAGTGAAGAGTTAGTCCTAATAACGTGTACAGAGAATACCGACCTTACGTCACTCCGAAAGGTTTAGAACGTGATTCCATGAGTCGAGCATGCATTATATATATGTATCTATTTTACTCTACCGAGCCGCGCTATAGTCGGCCGGGTACGGCACCTATTGTGCAACCACTGATCAGTTAGGTTTTACCGAGCTCCACGTGGCCGAGTACGATTCTACCGAGCCTTATGATGGCCGGGTACGTTTTTACCGAGCCTATTACGGCCGGGTATGATTTGATGATGATGATGCCCACAGAGGCGTATGTTTTAAAAGTTTATGTATATATACATATGTATCATGTGTTTCGTGTCAGTAGCCCTCAGAGGTACGCATATGTTAGAAGTTGTATATTCTCTAACCCTGCTTACATTACTGTTCGTACTTATGGTTCCCTGCCTTACATACTCAGTACTTTATTCGTACCGACGTCCTTTTATTTGTGGACGCTGCATGTCGTGCTGCAGGTCCTGATAGACAGGCAGGTGCAGCTCCTCCACCACAGTAGGCTGTCCAGTTCAGCGGTGATTGGCGAGATCCCTTCTCCGGACATGCTGTGGTCTTGGTATGCATTTTTGTTATCGACATTATGGGTATGTCGGGGCCATATTCCGGCTATGTTGCAGCACTTATGTTCCTTTAGAGGCTCATAGACAGGTGTCGACTCATGTATAGTTTGGTATGCCTTGTCGGTTGAATTTTTGTTGTATAGTCTTTCATGGCAGCGTGGTAGCTCGTACCTTATATATAGTTTCTTGATTGTCTGGTCATCCCATGTTATGTATGTTCATGCCATCATTTTATTATTGGTTGCCCGTGATCCATGTCTACCATTTATATTGATCTCGTCAGCCCTAACACATAATAAAGAAGGTTAGATAAAATGTACATTGGTGCTCGGCAAGTGTGGCCGGGTGCTAGTCATGGCCCTCCAGTTTGGGTCGTGACATTATATATGATTTAAGACATTTCTGTAAAATTGGGTGAAAAACAGATGTCGTTTGACGTGATTCGGACCTAAATTGCTAAAGTTGATGTTTTATGAAGTTTGAGAAAAGTTCTTTGATTTTGAGGTTTAATTCCATGTTCATGATGTTATTTTGGTGCTTTGATCGCACGAATGAGTCCGTAGGATGTTTTTGAGGTTGTGTGTATATTTTGTTTGGAGCCCCGAGGGCTCGGGTGAGGTTTGAATAGGTGTCGGAGTGCTTTAGACTTAGAAAAATCTGGTTTTTCTGCTATTGCTGGTGTCCAGTTATTTTGTTCTATGCGATTGCATAGGAAGGATAACGATCGCATAGTGTAAACTTCAGGGGTCCTATTTTGTGCTACGCGAACGCATAGCTCCTTCCGCGATCGCGTAGAGTATAATTCGAGGGGTCCAATTTTTGTTCTATGCGATCGCACTGTACCCTTCGCGATCGCAATGTGTTAAGCCCCAGCCTTCATTTTCTTCTATGTGATCGCGTGGTATTGTACACGATCGCATTGCTCAGCCATTTTTACCTTATGCGATCGCAATCCATTGTCCGCGATCGTGTAGACCAAAATCCGCCTAGTTATTTTAAGTCTCCAAAACAGAACACTTGCGGGATTTTTACAAAATTTCATAAACCCCTTCTTCTCTAAAGCTCTTAGGCAATTTTTGAAGCATTTCCTCACCATAATCTCTTGGGTAAGTAATCTTTAGCTTGTTTTCTTCTATTTTTATCAACACCCACTAGATTTCTAGGCCTAAAACATGAGATTAAGGGTAGAAAATTAGGGATTTGGGTATAATTAGGGCTTTTTGATTAATTGCGATTTAGACCTCGTTTTGGGGTCGAATTCTGGAACTAATCATATATTTGGGCTCGTGGGTGAATGGGGGATCGGATTTTGGTTCGAACCTCGTGTTTTGACCAAGCGGGCCCGGGGTCGATTTTTGGATTTTTGGGAAAAATGATTAGAAAGCTATAATTGAACATTGGAATTGGATTGTTTAGTATTTATTGATGTTATTAAGTCGATTATGCATAGATACAATTGATTTGGAGCCGAATTCGAGAGAAAAGGTGGTAATTGAGGATTGAGTTGGTCGTGGAAGTTTGAGGTAAGTGTTCGGTCTAACCTTAGCTTGAGGGATTAGGAGTTAAGTCCTATTTGCTATCTTCTTGTTGAGTACGACGTATAGGCATGGTGACGAGTATCTATACGTTGGTGTCGAGCATGACCGTGAGTCTTAAATTGATACTTGTTGTACTCTTAAATGATGCTATGGATGCTTAGTGGGTAAATTCTTGACATTGAGCAAAGACTTAGTTTATTTTTCATGGAATTTACTTATGATTGAGAATTGGTAATAACTGAGATGAGCAGGAGTTGAGTTAAGGTTGGTTATAGCTGATGCTCCGTTGCCGGGACGTATATATTGGTGCTGTTGAATTCCCTTGCCGGGATAGTGTAGTTTATTGTTGATCCCTTGCCGGGATAGTGTAGTTTATTGTTGATCCCTTGCCGGGACGGTTATTTTGATTATTGTTGACTGTATATTTGGAACGGGTTGCGCACCGCAACATTTTTATTATCTATATATATGGATCGGGTTGCACGCCGCAACATTATTATATATGGATCGGGTTGCACGCCGCAACAATGATATGTTGGATCGGGTTGCACGCCGCAACAAATATTATATTGGATCGGGTTGCACGCCGCAACAGTTATATGTGTTGCACGCCGCAACAATGATATGTTGGATCGGGTTGCACGCCGCAACAAATATTATATTGGATCGGGTTGCACGCCGCAACAGTTATATGTGTGGATCGGGTTGCACGCCGCAACAGTGTTAAATGATAAGGGATCGGGTTGCGCGCCACAACAGTAGTATTTCTGTATTGTTGTAAATATTGTACTGTCCTTTCAGAATTCTATTTAGTGTTTGCTAGATTTGATACGTTCCCCGAAGCATGTTTCCCCCTTCCTTTTAAACTGCTTATTTCCTGTTTATTTCTTTGCCGTATATTATACAACTGCACAGGTTTATCTGGAGTCTGGTCCTAGCCTCGTCACTACCTCGTCGGGGTTAGGCCAGACACTTACCAGCACATGGGGTCGGTTGTGCTGATGCTACACTATGCACTCTGTGCAGATACCGGAGCAGCACTGGGTCAGCAGCAGTGGGGGAGCCAGCCTTCAGTCCACCGAGATTCTGAGGTAGTCCTGCAGGTGTCCGCAGGCCCGGCGTCTCTTCTATCAGTTATTATGTTCTGTTTTCATTTGTATCGAGACAGACTGTATTTCTTTTCTTCAAACATCTGTGTGTAGTATTCATAGACAGTCCGTGAATATTGTGACACCGGTTTCTAGGTAGAGACGCATGTTGGCATTTTCATATTTATTTAGGTATTATATTAGTCTAAGTCTTCCGCTAAATTTTATCTTTCGCTATTATTTAAATGTTGATCACCTGTTATTATAAGTTATTGAAAAGGACTAAAATGAAAGAGTTAAGATTTCTAAATTTTGTGGCTTGCCTAGCTTCTACGAGTAGGCGCCATCACGACTCCCGAGGGTGGAAAATCCGGGTCGTGACATCATCAGTACTAACATCCCTCACAAAGTCCAAATATGCCAGACATACCTTCAAACCATCCGTTGAGCATTCAAATATGAAATCACTCTATTAGGAACATAATCCACGAACCTCGCCACTCAACTCTAGGCAAACCCGGCATTGCCAACGTCACAGTCTTAGCATAACAATCTAGAATAACGTGACATGGTGACAACAAATTCATGCCTAAAATCACGTCAAAATCAACCATGTTAAGCAATAAAAGATCAACTCTCATCTCTATACCTTAATAGTAACCACACACGATCGGTACATATAGTAAAAAATAATAGAATCATCGACCGGTGTAGATACATGAACATGCATAACTAAAGAATCATGGAGCATATCGAAACGACGAGCAAAATATGATGACACATATAAATAAGTGGAACCAGGATCAAGTAATACCAACACGTCCCTGTGACATACTGAAGCATTACCAGTGATCATGGCATCAGAGGCAACTAGGGCTGCTTATCGGGTGGATTAGGCGATTATTTACTCTGAACATTTTGGCTTATCGGTTATCGGCTTTTAAATATATTAATCTGCTGGCCATCCGATAAGATATCGGGCGGATTTGTATCGATTTAGCTATTATCGGGCGGTTATTGATTTAGATTGTGCCTTTTTAATTAGTAAATTGTGTAATAAACTGAAGTAAAAATCTAAGACACACAGAGATAGCATTTCAGATATGCACGAGTTCCAACAGCAGCAACACGTTTAAGCAGCAGGGCTATTGGAAACACCAAGTATAATGTCACAGTTCGGCTAGCTAGTTTGTTGGTCTTGTTCACAGTTCATAAAAGTTGTGTAGAACCTTGTGGATGTTGTAATTAATGAAGTATAATGTTACACAGACCGATCGAATGAACAAGCAGACTAATCAACTGCAATCTAAATGATATAATTGTTAACGAAGAGTGTAGAACCTTATGAATGTTCTAAGAAGATAATTACAGTAAAATCACATTAGTCTTGTGTCTTAAGTGAGAATAGAGTAAAGTGTTAATTAGCATGAAACTAGAGAGTAACATGTGACTTAACCGCAAGATGGAAATAAAACATTTGAGCGGCTTTAACTAAGCACTGTCCAAAGTAGTCATAAAGCAAATCATGGAGACAACATAAGAATAAAGCAAGAAACTCAACTAATTCCCCTTGCATAATGAATAAGGCTCAGATTTTCATTTTTCCGGTGATACCTTCAATAACATAGGAAGAAACTTGAAATCACTTGCAAGAAACTCAACTAATTCCCCTGTCAAACAACTTCACAAAGCTCTAAACCGAAAGGCCGCCCTTGTACCTACAAGGCACTATCTTGCTTTTTCAATTTCTTTTGCAGTATATTGGGTCAAAGAAAGGAATCAGATACTATTCTTCCTAAATACTAGCAGTTGTATGAAATTTGAGAAGAATTACCATAGGGAAAGAAGATGACTGATCACTTTGTGAGGACATGAATAGCATAGAAAATACAAGGTAGCCATCCGAAGAGAGTCAGCAAAACACAAATCTAGTGCTATAGATTGGGTATGGGAAATGATCAAAATTGCTATAATGAAACAGAACTGATGCACATCCATAATTTTGAATTCTTACCAGATATATTAACACAAATTACGGAAGGGTCTTTCCATCACTAGCTAAATCTGAAGAAAAAAAAATCAAAATAATGAGTAGTGCAATAAATATAAGCATATCCACAACACTTATATACACCAAATATAATAATATTATTACCTTGTTCAAGCTGCTCGATTTTATCAAGATCTTCCTTAACACTAACAGGTTGTTTTAATTTTTTTTTTCGAAGCAAATCTTGAAGACACACTAGAGCTTGCACCAATTTAGGAGTTAATGAACTCCTAAATGAATCAAGAAGATGTCCTCCATACTAAACGCAAATTCGAATTCCTTACTTGAAATCGGAATAGCTAATACATCACGAGCCATCTCCGCAAGAACAGGAAATCTAGCTAAGTTCAATTTCCACCTGAGAAGAACATCAAATTCTTTAGTGTCATCCTCAGTTTCTTCACCAAAATATTTATCTAACTCTATTCTAGTATCCACTCCCACTTTTATAATTTTTATATCTTGCATTATCAACTGAGTGAAGATCTTACTTATCCCCCACTCACGTAAGCACCTACCAATACCATTTGCCATATTTTCGCCTTTATGACTAATAATATGATAAAAATTAATTATTCTCTTGGGCATATTCCATTAACTATCAATCCAATGGGAAGTGATACACATGTATTTGATTCTTTATATAGAAGTCCAGGTATCAGTGGTAATAGATACTCTTTGTTCCGTTTCTATAGAAGACCTCTTCAACTTTTGATGTTCTTTATTAAAAAGATCAAAACAATCCCTAGTTACAGTACTACGGGAAGGGATCCAAAAATAAGGTTGATCCACTTTCATAAAGTCTCTAAAACTTTCTCTCTCAACAAAGCTGAAAGGAAGCTCATTAACTGTGACCAAAGATATAACGCCTTCCCACACTCTTCTTGATCAAATTTCCAAGTAACAACAGCTACGTCATCCTGACTACTCCCCGGAATAGATTGAAAGCCTAAATTTGATTGTTTTTTTTTTTTTTATTAACAATAGCAGGGAGTTTGGGACACTTAAACTTACAAGAAAAAAGTGTCGACATACCTTCTTTGGTCTTAAAAATATACTCAATAAATCAATAGTCATATTTTGCTTTTGTACTCCCTTAGAAGTCATAATTTTTGTAAAATGGTGACAAACAACAGACCTTTTTTCCCTTTTTTGGTTATAGTTGACTCTGTTGTTTTAGCTTGACTTATTGCATTTGAATTAGAAGCCCCACTTTCACCCATCACCTTATCAAAATTGTATATTTTCAGCCCTGCTATATATTAAGGAACTATCTGCAGAAAGACTCAAGATCAAATTAAGATAGAAACAATAGTTAGTTTGAGGAAATTAAGTTAAAGAACCTGCTTATATCAACTAAATAAATGAGAGTTAACGGTATTGAACAAAACGATTGGCAAGGAGATAAACGAGATAAAAACCCTCAACTAAAAGAATCAAACCAAGCTTTGTTCGGATAGGAAAAACACAAATATTCAGGAATACAGAAAAAAAAAAAAAAGCACTAATAAGTAATGGAAAAGAAAAAAATCAAGTATGCAATTCCAATGTAATAAAACTAATACACCTTAATTCTAAGCTAGTTGTGGTTGGATACTTGGATATCTGAATCCTCAATATCTGTTTAGGAACTTGTTATTTTCATATCCGTTAAGGTGAAATGGCTGAATACTTTGAGATGCTCTCTATTTTTAAAGGTGTAAACAACAGTGAGGACCGAATATTTTGAAGAGATCAACAAGAGAAGGAACTTACATCTGCTGCTCTGGCTATGGCGAGAGGCGAGCGAGGGACGGCGAGTTGGCGAGAGGGAGAGGCAAGACGGCGAGTTGGCGAGATGGAGAGGCGAGACGCCGAGAGGGAGAGACAAGACAGCGAGAGGGCTGGACGCTTGGTTTCTAAGGGAAATTAAGAATTTTAGATGTTAGGGTCTCTAAAGTATAAATGTCTAATAGAGGTCCTGTACTGGAAGTGGAAGTGTGGAAGGGATTTTTATTATTCAATATACATAGTAACATATGGATTAAAATAAAATTATCCATTAAGAAAATTTAATAATTCGCCCCAAATCGATAAGTCGTTAATAAAAATATTTTAATTTGTTCCCCATCTGTTAAATCGTTAACCCGATACCAATAAGCCGTTAAACCACTTTTGCGGTTCGGATTTCATTTTTCAGTTCGAGTTTGAATACCACTAGAGGCAACTGCCTCCGGCCTGGCTGGAAATGCGTAGAAACTTGCTTGACAACCACCTGATCGACCTCTCCCCCCCCCCCCCAATCTAGGGTCGCCTCGAGCTGACTGAGCCTCACCCCGAGCTGGTTGTACGGGTGGTGTAGCTGTTGGTGCTGGAACCATATACTGACAACTCTGTTATGGAACCCTACCCAATAGTCTGGGTAAATCCCTCTTGAGATGACTCAAGTCCCCGCACTCGAAACAACCTCTCCTCTGACGGAGCTGTTGCCCCTGATAGTCTGAATAACTGCCCGAGGAACCCTGTGCAGATGAAGCATGATTAGAACTCTGTTCTGGCAGCATACTAAATGATAATTGAGTTGGGTGTGCACTATAGGAACATTGGCTAACTGAAGAACCACAAGGAACATGGCGAGCTACCTCAACAGGTCTAGAAGAAAGGCCTGTGCTGTAATGGGACTGGCCTCCAAATAAGGCACTCTTGAAACCACATGAACTATGGGGCATCTTGGGAACCTCCTAATCTTTTCCCTCTCAATGAACCTCCTAATTATTTCCCTCTTAGTGGGAACCAACCATATCGCGTGACGAGCCAACTTTGAAAACCTCATCTCATACCGAGTCAGTGTCATACCCTCCTGGCGAAGTTTCTTAAATTGCCTACGTAACTCCTCTCTGCGAGTCTGTGGGACAAATTTCTCTTAAAAGAGAACTGAGAACTCATGCCATGTAAGAGGCGCTGCATCGGCTTGCATGCTCAACTCATAAGCCAGCCATCATCGGTGAGCATCCCCTGGCAACTGAGAAGTAGTGAATGAAACCCCACTCGTGTCCAAAATACCTGTTTTGCGAAGAATCCGCTGACATTGATCAATAAAATCCTGAGCATCCTCCGACTCCGCTCCACTGAACTCTGGAGGCTTAAACTTCCAAAACTGCTCCATTCTCTTCTACTCCTCATCACTGATATAGGGACCAACCTCGAGTGGCAACAACCGGCTGAACTAGCCATACACCCGGCATTTGGTGAGCCAGAGCTAGCTTCTCTAGAGTACGGGCGGCTGGGGTCTAGGCACATCCCCCGGCCTGTGAAGTGGCTGGTGTAGCTAGAACTGAGATTGCCTGAGCCACGCTCGTGCACCCAGTCAAAATATGGGCTAAGGCCTCCTGAAGGCCAGGAATCATAATGGGCATAGCTGGTGCCTGAGCTAGTCCCACTGGCTCAACCACATCTGGTTCCTGCTCCTGAGCTGGACAACTGCTCTGGTTGTAGTACGAGCCACACCTCGGCCTCTCCTGCGGCCCAGCCTCTCGTGGTCCTAGTTGGTGTTACTGGTGGTCGTTTGCCTGATCTGGTCGCACGTGTCCGTCAACTTTAAATTTCGGAAATAGAAAATCCGCAAGACATGAATAAGAGAAAGTGAAGTTTCCTAACAGTTCGATAGCCTCTTGATGATAAGTATAGACATCTCCATACCGATCCGCAAGGCTCTGCTAAACTTGCTCATGACTCGTAATACCTATGAGCCTAGTGCTTTGATACCAACTTGTCACGATCCAAAATACCAACTCATCGTGATGGCGCCTAACACACTAGCAAGGCAAGCCAAAACTTACCAATAAACAGCCAAAACAACATAAATTATAGAAATAGCATAAATCTAAAACCTCAATGTAACAAAATAGTGCCAATACAAGGACAATCCCCCAAAACTGGTAAATACGTAGTCATGAGCTTTACAACGGAATACAAGTTTGAAACTGAACAATAATAACACTATCTAAATTGTAACAATAGTATGTAAGAAAAAGACAAGTCAAAACTGCGACCAAGGATGCAGCTCTAACTCGCCTCTCAAAGATAGTCCAATAAGTAAGCCTATTGTTGATAACTGGTCCCCACACCGGGATATGCACAATTAGGTGCAGAGTGTAGTATGAGTACAACCGATCTAATGTACTCAATAATTATTGCAACTAACATCGGCGAGGAAAAAGAAACAAGAATTAAAAATTATACCGATTATGACATGTACAGTTTCATAAAATCTAACATGTATGGAAAATTAATGTGAACATGTAGAATATACTGAAAGGACTATCTTTGTGTGTGGCTACAATTACTCAAAAATCTCTATTCAGTCTTGGGCGCAGCATATAAGATAATATGCAGATAATTAGATGATAAACCATGGAAGCAACAAGTAAAGATGAAATGTAATTCCAAAACAACATTGGTCAGACTTTTCTCAACCTTTCCATATCCGTACCAAACCACTGATTAGTTTTTCTCAATAATTGCACGTACACAAACAAGAGAGAAGCATGAGAGCGTGACCCTAGTGGGATGGATCCATATTCACTCGCTGCGGACAGCTCACGTGTTAATTGAATCAAGCATGGACAACTCATGTGCTGCATAGACAACTCATGTGCTAATAATATCATTAATCAGATCAGCACAGACAACTCACGTGATGCACAGACAACTCAAGTGCTAATAGAATCAACCGCAAAGACAACTCATGTGTTAATAATCACAATCCGCCCGACGTGGTTATAGGCTGCCAATCTAGATCATAATACCGAGGAAAGCAAATATGCGGGAATACATGAACATGATTAACGACTATCAAGTTACATACAACTGGACTGGTATAAATTACATGTTATAGCGTAGGCAAATCGACCCTCAAACCTCTATTTTTTATTTTTGCAAAGTTTCCACAAAATTCCCCATTTTTTACACTTTAACTAATTAATTAACTGTCAAAACAAAGATAGAAGCATGGAATAGTGACAAATCCGAGTAAAAAAATACTTACCCCGATCCAAGACGTGAAAATCCCCTCTAAAATCGCCCAAAATCGAGCTCTTCAGCTGAAAATATGAAAATAATACTCTAACCCTCTATTTGTGTTTTTAATATTCTGCTCAAATGTTCCTCTTCGTGATTGCGGAAAGTCCCGAGCGATCGCGATGGACAAAAATCACTACCCTCCAAAATACACTTTGGGAACTCGAAGCCACAGGCATTACCAGATCTAACTCTTTTCGAACGCGTGCCCAATACTGGGATCGCGTAGACTTGAAGCCTGAGACCTCAAAGCTTCGTAAATGTGTGCCCCACATCGCGAACACGATACACAATATTCCACCAGTCACAAAAGACCCTTCACAA